AGGGCTTTTATTTGGTTCAGTTTCTAGTTGGCTCCAGCTTTTTTTTTTTTAAGCAATACATTTGGGTTGTGTGTGATAGTCTCACTTGTAATCAAGACTGTAGGTCTCCCTATCTGAATATTTCTATAATACCTATCACTTTAGCATACCAGAGATTGTGTTCATTTATAGAAAATAACAATAAATGTCACCTGATCATATGCTCTTCTAGTAATATGTTATAGCAAGTTGTATTATTCTAGTAATTTAACTATTACAAAACAGGCGTGCAGAAATAAATCACATTGAACAATAAATATCAAAGCATAGTACACTTAGGGCCTCCCTTGTCCTGTGCCTCAGATATCATAGCATATTACACAGTTCAGATGGAACTCAGTTTCCTTTAAAATAGGAAGGGATCCCGTACTCATGAAGAAGCTACTTCCACACATTTTTTTATTTAATTCACAGCAAATACTCTTAGTACTAATTGTGGGAAATCATCCTAGCAATTGCCTCTGTTCCTCTCTGTACTGTTGCCTTACATTCTGATGTCATTACTGCGCTTTTATCATCCACCCGCTCTAATAAGATTGTGAATTATTTAAGGGCAGAGATCATGACTTGTGTGTTCCCTGTCATGGTGCCTAGATAAATACTCAAATGCCATCCAGTCCAAATGACTGTGATGAGAGAGGCCCACCGTTGCTGGAGACCTCTGATTTTTATTTAAGGGGCCTCACTTGTTCTGTGCCTTTACAGAGGGGTGAGTAGTGGCTGAGGGAATTTGAGGAAACCCAGACAGAATTCTCCTCTTAAAACATTTTGCTAAGCTGGTGCCTGGGACCGCCAGGCATGTGTCCAATTAAAACCTGGACACACAGCAATAACAAAGTCACTGGTCTCCTATTGCTAATGCCTAGGGATCAAACCCAGCCTGCAGGAACTCACCCCTGTAGTCAGGACCGGGCGCTGGGTGGACCTGGGCTGGTGCTCCTAACTCTGGGGAGAGGGAAACTTCCTGTGGCTGCAGGCTAAAGGCCCCAGACTCCGCGCCACCCACCCGAACAGGTCCATAGTGCAGGCTGGTCAGCAGAGCGGCTTCTTCGCCTGGGATCACGGGGAGGTGTGGCCTGGCCTGTTCTGTTTGCCCCGCAATCGATCGCAGGGAGGCCTGGCCTGGCCTATTCACCCCATGATGGGCACTGGGCTACAGTGTGTGGACCCAGGCCACCGCTTGGTACCGTCACACGCCCAAGCGGCCACGGGGCGGGAACATCTGCTTGGCACCTGCACCAAGAGGCCCAGAGTGGCCAGAAATGTTCTGGGACCCCAGCTGCTCAGGGCCTATGCGCGGGCCTACAGGCTAGGAGCGGCCTGGGTCCCAAGGTGTTCCCAGGACTCAGGCTGCTCAGTACCTGTGTATGCAAATTAACCCGCCATCTTTGTCAGGTTAATTTGCATACTCTTCTGATTAGCTGGTGAGCGTAGCAGAGGGACAGTCAATTTACATATTTCTCTTTTATCATATAGGATAGGATTAGAATCAACGGACAAGAATTAAGGAGGGTTACCTGAAATCCACTGTTGGTAGATTAAGGGAGGTGGGAGAAATTATATAGAGAAACACATACCTCTGTATGCAGGGAACAAGAAGGATTCCATGGTCTTGTGCCAGTGGTTGTGCCTTTAGGAGGAAAAGAAAATTGCTCTGATCAGTTATCTTAGATGCATAAAAACAATGGACAGGGCTGGGTCAAGGTAAACATTGACCTTTGCTATCAGCTGACTATGAGCAAGTCATGTTCCTGGGCTGAAGAAAGTTTGCAAGGAGGCTAGTTGCTAGGGAGAGGAAGCCGGGCATTGCTACGTGATGTCATTACCTGGACAGTCAGACACTTACATATTAGTGGGGGTGGAGGGTCCCTCAGCCCAGCCTGTGCCCTTTTGCACTCTGGGACCTCTCGGTGATGTCCACCTGCTAGCTTAGGCCTGCTCCCCGGGGGGATTGGGCCTAAGCTGGCAGTCAGACATCCCTCTGGCAGCCCGGGAGCCCTCAGGGAATGTCCACTTGCCAGCGGGGAGCATGCCTAAGCTGCGGTTGGACATCCTTAGTGCTGCTGAGGAGGCAGGAGAGGCTCCCGCCACCACCGTTGTGTTGGCAGCCATCAGCTTGGCTTGTGGCTGAGCAGAGCTCCCCCTGTGGGAGCGTACTGACCACCAGGGGGCAGCTCCTACATTGAGTGTCTGCCCTCTGGAGGTCAGTGTGTGTCATAGTGACCAGTCATTCCCAGTCGTTCTGCTGTTAGGGTCAATTTGCATATTACCCTGTTATAGGATAGAGGCCTGGTGCATGGTGGAGGCCGGCTGGTTTAACCTGAAAGGTGTCCCAAATCAGGGTGCGGGTCCTGCTGGGGTGCCTGGGTGAGGGGCTAAGGGCCGTTTTCAGGCTGGCCACATGCCCTTCAGGGTGGGGATCCCCACTGGAGTGCCTGGCCAGCCTGGGTGAGGGGCTGATGGCTGTTTGCAGGCTGGTCAAGCCCCCCAGTGGGGACCCTCACCCTATGGGGGTGTGGCCAGCCTGGGTGATGGGCTGAGGGCCCTTTTCAGACTGGCCACACCCCCTTCAGGGTGGGGGTCCCTACTAGGGTGCCTGGCCAGCCTCGGTGAGGGGTTGATGGCTGTTTTCAGGCTGGCCACACCCCCTGGCGACCCAAGCTCCCAGCCTCTCCTTTTTTGCTTTTTTTTGCTTTTTCTGGTATTTATTTATCTTCTATAATTAAAACTTTGTAGCCTTGAGCGGAGCTGAGAGCCGGCCAGGGCAGGCGGGAAGCTTGGCTTCCTCCATTGCCAGGGGCAACCCAAGCCTCCTGCTTGCTCCAGCTCCATGGCTGCAGCCATCTTAGTCTGCCCCCTGGTGATTAGTGTGCATCATAGCAACTGGTCAAACGGACATTTAGCCTATGAAAAATTAAGAATGTATATTATATAGATAACAGTTAAGAAGTATAGCTTTTAAAAAATAAAAATAAAATTGTAAAAGGACAGGAAAGGAGGAACAGAAAACAGCATAAATAGAAACAAGACAATGGTAAACTTAACCATATCAATGATTACACAGACACATTAGTAGAGAAAACAATTGTAGAAATTATCAGAATGGATGAAAAAAGAAAACAGAACCAACTATATGCTGTGTCGTAGTTTTAAGATCTGTCTACAAATTCTTAGATATTACTCCCTAGTTTGGACTTAGTGACCAGCTTCTAAGGAATAGAATTGGCAGAAGTGATGGTGTGTGACATCCTAAACAATGTGATAAAAGGCATACTCCTGGAAACTGGAACCAAGATGGCGGCATAGGTTAATGCCGGAGTTTGCTGCCTTGAACAACCATTTCAAAAGTGAAACTAAAAGACAGAACGGACACCATCCAGAACCACAGGAACACTGGCTGAGTGGAATTCCTACAACTAGGAGGAAAGAGTAACGCATACAGACACTCAGAGGAGGCGCAGTGCTGAAGTCAAATTCTGAGGTGCAGAGTGCACGGAGCAGGCTGGCGGCAGAGGGCGCGGTTGTTTTCAATCAGGAGGGAGTCGCAGACTCTGAGCTCCAGATCCGGGCGAGTCTTTAGGGGAACAGACTCAAACGGGAGAAGTGGGACTGTCTGGCTTCGGTCAGAGTGAGTGCAGCTTTCTCTCCGAGGTTTGCAGCGGTTGCTGGGACTCACAGAGGCAGAGGCCCTGGGGGCAG